TGTGTTAATCAGTTGATAGGCTAATCAACTAACCAGCCAGCTATTCATTCTTACCAAGGCACAGAGCCCCTGTGAGTGAAATTCATAGAATCTGTACAGAATAGTGAAGATCCTTAATGATATGTTAGAGTTGTCCCTCTCTGCCACCTAGAAACTCACTTGTTTTATTATACATAGGAGAGATACCCCCTATGGCCACACTGTGAAGTTGATAATGGTACGCTGATACATATGATGCGGCATGCCCCATACTAACCAGGTATTGGACCCTTGTCCTGCACACCATAAAAGAGGTTGATATGGCTACGTTGCCACTGGACCCTAAGATCTTCATCTTGGGTTGGCTGGAGGAAGAACTCTTTACTCTACCCATATATACAGTGATCTTTGATATTCTTTGGCTCAAGAGCTTATAGCCCAGAAGTGGTTCTCTCCAGCCCCCCAACACATGCTTTATGGGTGAAAACAGTTAATGATGTCCTGATCTGGGAACGCTTAATGTACCAACATAGACGATGCCCTGGAAAATTCACAGAATTCTGGAATGACTGGTTAGACATACCGGGACTGGATCCTCCACAATTAATTAGAGACAGGCTATTTGGTTGATTTGTACGAACCCCTGTATTAGATCATTGATCTCCCTCCATCCCTGCATTTCACGAGTCACAACACATGGTTTCAGGGGTTGAAACTTTGATTTTATTGTATAACCAGGTTGACACATACAATATTGTAACAGTCAAGTGTGGGCGTAGATGGTTGACTTACAGCGTTTTGGAGAATATGCGATCTTACATTCATATAAAGATGACACATTACTCCCTGTTGCTGGACACTTGAGTCTTGTGTACTTCATAATAGACAATGATTACCAATGCTGCTGTCCAAGGGGGGCTATATTGCTCTTCATAGATACAGTGGAGGCAGAGGCATCCCTAAGGTTGGTGTCACACAGTGCGGTAACACGTGGTGTCACCCCTCCAGAGAGGAAAGAGCGGTGCCGGTGTAGGGGTAAAATGAGTATCCCGTGAAGATATGTATCCCCTGAAGCAACTGCGCATGTGCCGGTTTCAGGCCAAAGAAGCTGATCTCCGACTTTAGCACAAAGCTGCCACAGTTAACCCCTTACAGGCTGCAAACCGCTGAAGCTGATCCCACTTAGATCAGTTAACCCCGTATAGGTTCAGAGCGGCTTCTTCAGCCTGAAACTGGCACATGCACAGTTGCTTCAGGGGATACATATCTTCACGGGTCCGGGATACTCATTTTACTGCTACACCGGGGGAAGGTGTCACTGTGCCAGGAATCCGGGATCACCCCAATAACTGGCCAGGACCTTCTCAGAGCCCAGAAGCTCTACTGGCATCCTGCTCTTGCACCCCCTGTGATGGTGTCACCCGGTGCGGCCCCCAACCCCCACACCCCCCTAGGAATACCATTGAGTGGAGGAGTGAGTAAAGCCACCCTAAGGCTACGTTCACACTAGCGTTGTGTGCAGGTGGAAGAGAGGCGTTTGGGAAGCGTTTTTTTTTTACCGCTTCCCAAGCGCCTCTGCCAATTCTGCACATTACAGCACATGGTGCTGTTCTAATGGGAGCATTTGCGTTGCGTCGCGTTGCGTCGCAGCAAAACGGACGCCTCTGGTCGAGTCAGGAGGTGTTGAAGCCTCCTATTCTCGTCTATGGTGCCGCTCCGCAAACACCCGGCCAGCGTTTGCGGTGCGGATGCGACGCGGTTGCGGGGCGTTTGCGGAGCAGTAACACCACTCAAACTGCATTATAGGCGTTTGTGAGGCATTATTAACGCTCGGCAAACGCCTAGCAACCGCTGCTAAACCGCGCATGCGGCGTTTGCGGAGCGTTTGCCAAGCGTTAAAAAATGCTCTGCAAACGCCGGACCAACGCTTTCCAAACGCTATAGAGGTGTTTCGCAAGTGTTGGTAAAACACCCAAGTGTGAACGAGCCCTAAGACAGAAGGCGTAATATTGGCAGAATACCAGGTGAAAATAAGGCTTAAAAAACAAAAGCAGGCACCACATCTAAGGAGTGGTATGCTGTACAATATAACATTTTTGTTCTTGGTTTTATTTACATTTGAAGGGCATATTATATCAATGTGTAACCTCATGAGAGGTTTTTGCATCATGTGATTTCAGCATTCTGGGAGGTGAAGGAAGCACAAAGGCAAGTGTTTCCTATCATTCCCCTATGTTAGTGCCGGTCATTGTCACTGGAGCAAAATCTGCTACACCTAGAAACACAGGACATAGGATAGACTATTTGATAAGAATAAAATCATATTTATAATCCAAATTTTAAAGCAAATTAATATATTTTTAATTATTTAAAGGTAAATACTATGGATACAAAATCTAAGTAATACATGCATTGCACTTCTTGCTTCACAGTCTAACATACCAGGCAAATAGGGGGAGATGTACTAAAACTGGCGCACACCTGTGCATAGCTGCCAATCAGCTTCTATCATCAGCTTGTTCAATTAAAGTAGAACTATAGGCAAAACCTTTATGTTTTTATTTTAGATAAAGTAAGGGTGCTTTATAATCCCTGTAAAGTTTATTTTTGTCATCCGTGTCCCATGTGGGGAGAGATTTACCTTCACTTCCTGTTCCACAGCCTAAATAGGAAGTGAGAGGAAATCCCTGATAATTAAGGGAATATCTTGGGGACCCCCAGGTCACGGAACTAGTGTCTGCATTGGAAGATTTCCCCTCTAATACTTTTCTGGGGACAGGCCAAAATTTGGGATTTTCTTTTATTTTCAATGATAACGGCAAACAGTACAAATAGAGGGAATCTCCCTAACAGGTGACACAGACCGCAATAAAAACTGACAGGGGTTCCAATCCCTCTCCCCTCTATCCAAAACAAAACAAAAAAAAGTTTTTTCTTTAGTTATACTTTAAAGTATTACTAAACTCTGGATCCTGCATCCACTATATCTGGTCTCCCACAGTACACAGAACATGGAAAGTGCAATTATTTCAGTAAATGTAAACTGCTAAATACCTTTTCTCATCAGCAGTTAGAGCAGTCATGTGACTTCTATCAGTGTTTAGCAGAGCACATGTTAAAGCTTGTAGGAAGAGTTTTTTTCTGCTCCAGGAGGATGCAGATCCCCTGACCTCTGTCTGGACAGTGCTGATTGGCCCTGTGCTGATCACATGCACTCTCACAGGAAAAAAATATCTCTAGCAATACACACTAAACTGAGCATGTGCAGAATGGCTTCGGTTCAGTCTGTTATGTCAGGAGATAAGACGTGGACATTTGAACAAGAGGAGGAGTAGAGAAGTTAGATCAAACGGTCTTTTTTTTCTTTTTACACAATACAGAGGATTAATCCTTCGGTTCCACAGTGAGTATAACAAGCATGCTTTACTACATATACAGACTGATTTTACTGTTGTGGGTTTACACTTTAAGCTTTGACAATAAAATCAGGAAGCTGACTGGTTACTATGCAAAGCAGCACCAGATTCTGTGTGCTCCAGTTGCAGTAAATCTTCCCCATAATGTCACATCCTGAGATTCTTCTGATTGGGTAAAACTACATTTTATGTTTCATCTTATTTTATTTTTTTAAATTTTCATACAGAAGAGAAAAAAGTGGAACAATCCACATTGTATAAAGTAAGTGGGAATGATGGCAAGTTTTCACATCCTGTGTCAGAACAGTACATAAGACATATTTACCAAGTACACAAAGGAATAAAAGTACAAATACACTACTTTAATACAAAAATATGGACTTCGATATTCTACTACTAGAAAGCCTTGTTTGTCCTAAAAACTGTAAAATTTACTGTAGCAGGAAGCTGACAAAAATATTAAAACATCGATGGTCAAAATAAAAAATCATATCATCCACATTGTATTTCAATTATTTCTACCCTACTCCTATCACTCTGGACAATCTTGAGGTTTGTAAACGTTCTTTGTGAAGCTCCCTATACATTTACTTCCTTGAATTCTGTGACACCTAGTCACTATGCCCTGTGAGTAGGCACTGCTGTGTCACACATTTCACAGAGCCTACCTTCTGAACTACAGAGGTGCTGAGAGGAGGAGTCAGTACAGAAATCACTGCTTGCAGGCAGCAATGTACCATGGGATATGTAGTCCTTAGAAATGGTAAGTAAACCAGCAGGGCGGGGATTCCAGGACGTTTTGGAAAGAGATGGCCAGCAGCAAGGCAGCACTCACAACATAAAGGGAGATAACTCTAGTAAGCTTATATTGAATTGTCAAATATAACTTTTCTGTATTGTTATTACAATGTAGATGTTATAAAATGAAGGTGTACGCTGTGACCATACATCTCCTTTAACCGCTTCTCGTCCGCCCTATAGCAGAAACATGCTACAGGGCGGCACTGGTGCGCAAAATCACGTATATACATATGTGATGCATTTCCGGGTAGGGGACGCACGCTGCACACTGACACAGACCCCTAGTGAAACACTCCCCACACACAGTTAACCCTTTGATCGCACTCATGTTAACCCCTTCCTGCCCAGTACCATTAGTACAGTGTCAGTTTTTTTTTAGCACTGATCACTGTATTGGTGTCACTGGGGATGTCAGTGACACCAAGTCAGTTCCCCCCAGTGTCAGAATGTCTGCGCAGTCTCACTATAATTCGCTGATCACCGCCATTACTAGTAAAAATAAAAAAATCCCAGTATATATACCGTCATTTGTAAATGCTTTAACTTTCACATAAACCAATTCATTTACACGTATTGGGATTTTTTTTTTTTAACAAAAATACATTTTGGCCTAAATTTATGACAAAATTTGATTTTTAAAATTTTTTTTACGGACATGTTTAACCTCCCTGGTGGTATTCCCGAGTGTAGCTCGGGGTAAAGTTTCAGTACCAAAAGCGGTAACCCCGAGCTACACTCGGGAATACCATGCGGAGTTGCTCAGGGATTCCCTGCAGCACTTACCTTGTCCTTTGCTCCCGCGATGTGTCCCCTGCAGCTTCCCCGGCCATCTCCTCTGGCCGATGCCGGCATCCGGCTTCCGTGTTCTGGTCCCTGCAGCGTCGGGACATACGAGACATACGGGGGCCGGAACCGGCGGCAAATGTAAACATTTTTAGAAACTGTCATTTTCTAATAAACGAATTTGACATAGTAAAACATTACTGTATCAATCATTTCACATACATATTGTCCCTAGTGCTTTGTCCTGTGCCCTGCCTGCATTTTGACTGTTCTTTCTGCCTGGAAACTTAGAAAAGTCCATGGCGTCCAAAAAGCATCCCTTTTGGTCAAAAGCGGTTTTAGACCAGCTAGAGAACAGCGATAGTAAATCAGAACCACTTGCAGAATTGAGTGATAATGATTCGTGGGGAAATTCGTCATCAGACACTGAAAACGACTTTGCTCAGTAATGTGCGAACTTGGTGCTATATTTCAAATTTCAGTGTTTTTGGTTTGATTATATTATTGAATTAAATGTATTATTATATTATTATTTTTTATGATTATTTAATAAATTATAATTTATGATTTTGTGTTTCAAGTTGTATCCTATCTGGAATGTTTACTAGACTCTTGTTCGGACAGATTTCAGTGAGTTATTCCTAAAAATTACAGGCCTACAATAAAAAAAAATACATATTTCCATGCAAAAAAAGTACCGCTTTCAGCACAGAAATATGGACATAATCAGACCGCTAGGGAGGTTAATAGCAAAAAGTAAAAAAATATAGTTTTTTTTCTCAAAATTGTTGGTCTTATTTTTTTTTCTATAGCACAAAAAATAAAAAAACACACAGGCGATCAAATACCACAGAGAGAAAGCTCAATTCATGGAAAAAAAAGGACTTAAATTTCATTTGGGTGCAGCGCTGCATGAACGCGCAATTGTCAGTTAAAGTAACGCAGCACCGTGAAGCAAAAAAAATGGCCTGGTCAGGAAGGGGGGTAAACCCTCAGGAGGGCAAGTGGTTAAAGGATCACAATGCAAAATTGTGACATGTGGTCTGGTAATGACTGCTACAAGCTTAAGAGAAAGTTGTGAGCGCTCTGAATGAAATAAAGCAGCCAAGCATCAAAAAAGTATACCAAAAACCTCGCAAACATATGAATATAAAAGATGCGGCGCTATATCACAACTATAATTATGCTGAAATATCCAAGGTATATGTGACGATTAGGTGACTAATAAGAAACCACAAATATTCTGTCACAAACAGAGTGACATGCAGTGCAAAACAGTCTTGGTGACAATCCCTCTCCTTCAAAAGGTGCTTCTTCCACGCGGTGATAGTGAAAAGGTAAAGCTGTGCACTCACCAGATGCACAGTTTAACTGCGCTTCCAAAGCTTTCCCTTTGATGATGTGCGACTAGCACGAAACGCGTCAGTGAAGGAGCTACAGCGTCACTATCTCTCTGCCGCCGGCACAATGGAGGTCCCGGCAGCCATCTTTTAAATTCACCTCATGGTCAGTGTGTTTTTTTCCCTTTACCTGTATACTGTATGGAAATAAAAATCCAAACCTTTTTGAAACGGTATCACGCTATTGGTCTCCTTTTTTTTGTGGCCCTTGGTGAGTCACTTATCACCTATAGAGCCACCTAAAGGAGAGACCGTGGATTGTCAGCAATACAACAGGGGAAGAAATATCTGGCCTGACCTGACCTTTAAGAAATAACCGGTGGATTTGGAAAAGAGTTCATCTTTAAATGCGCAGTTAAACTGTGCATCTGGTGAGTGCACAGCTTTACCTTTTCACTATCACCGCGTGGAAGAAGCACCTTTTGAAGGAGAGGGATTGTCACCAAGACTGTTTTGCACTGCATGTCACTCTGTTTGTGACAGAATATTTGTGGTTTCTTATTAGTCACCTAATCATCACATATACCTTGGATATTTCAGCATAATTATAGTTGTGATATAGCGCCGCATCTTTTATATTCATATGGTAATGACTGCTATTTGGCCGACACATGTAATTGGGGTAAGAAAAAAAACTAAATTCTCAGGTACCACCAGTCATTTAATAGGAAAATGAAACAAGCATTCTGATGTCGTTAGGGCAAAAATGTGTGCTCAGTTTCAGCGAAATATATTTCAGATTCAACAAAACAAAAGTTATTCAATCTTTTACAGAAGTTTTCTTTCTAATGTATATGGAATCAAACCGCGCAAATCCCTAATCACCTAATATCACAAAGCTTCAAGTATTAAAGAGGATATCCTTTTCCCCCCAGCCCGCGTTCCCCCCCCCCCCCGACTTCTCCTTCACGACCAACAATGCCACCATCAGTCCCTCCCCGCAAGTCAGGGTACTAGGTGTCATCCTAGACTCCAATCTGTCTTTCCAGGTCCAATCGCTGACAAACTCATGTAGACTTTACCTCCACAACATCTCCAAGATACGTCTGTTCCTAAACCCTGGAAACTACTAAGCAACTTATTCACTCCCTTGTTATATCACGACTTGACTACTGTAACTCCCTCCTCACTGGCCTACCTCACCGCAGGCTATCCCCGCTTCAGTCTATCCTGAATACTGCGGCCAGACTCATCCACCTTAACTAACCGCTCCGTATCCGCCACCCCCCCTCTGCCAATCCCTCCACTCGCTTCCCATTGCCCAACGGATAAAGTTCAAAATACTAACATTGATGTACAAAGCTGTTCATAACACTGCCCCAAACTACATCACCGATCTGATATCCAAATACCACCCAAAACGTACTCTACGCTCCTCACAAGACCTCCTACTCTCTAGTTCCCTGGTCTCCTCCCCCCATGCCCGTCTCCAGGACTTCTCCAGGGCTTCCCCCATCCTCTGGAACTCCCTACCCCAATCCATCACCTACTCTCCTCACCTTTAGGCGCACCCTGAAAACCCATCTCTTCAGGGAAGCCTACGCCACCCTCAGCTAATTGCCCATCTCCTCCACTCTTCCTACCACTCCATCCCCCACAGCTATCTCCTCCTGTACCACTATCCCCTCCCTCCTAGATTGTAAGCTCCAAGGAGCAGAGTCCTCAATCCCCTCGTGTATCACATTGTATTGTTACTGTACTGTCTCGTGTACTGTCTCCCTTTATAATGTACAGCGCTGAGCAAAATGTTGGCGCTATATGAATACTGTAATAATAATAATAATATCCTCTCTTAAAAAAATTAATTTGAATGAATACTGCACTAGGCGAACCTTTATACAACATACATATGCACTATGAAGACCCTCACACCTCTGAAAGGCAATAAAAAAAAAAACAAATTGGATAAAATAAAACTATATCAGTACATACATATTCACTATGAAAACCCTCACACATCTGAAAAGCAATAAAAAAATGAAAAGATTGGATGGATTAAACTGTGTAGGTACACTAGTCAAGTGTGCATAAAAACAGTGAAATATGGTCAAATAAACCTTGGAATATCATACACCATATATATGCCCTATGAAAACCATCATACCTCTGAAAAGTGATCGAGGTTGAAGGTAAATTGAATAATACTGTGCAGAATATATTGACCACAAGTACATACAAAAAGCAATAATATACACCAGAGCAAGACATATAGGCCATATATATAGACATATAGGCCATATAAAGATGAAGACTCACAATCAGTGATGATACTGTAAACAATGCTGTAGGTGCAAATGTGGATAATCTTCTTTCAAATGGTCACCAAAGTGTATACCACCACCAAATATTCGAATAAAGGCTTACCAGAAATGGAGACCCCTTAATTATAGGGGGTCCCAACCCCGCATTATGACGTAGAACACCAGCAGGCTCTCCGTGTCATGCCCAGAACATGGATCTTCCAGACCTCCAACTCAAATGTGGACTCAAAGTGTAGTGTCAAATGAGATCATGAAAGAAAAAACATGCCTCTCATAGTGCAATACGTATCAAAAACATCTTTATTTGTGCTAATAAAATCTTACTTACAAGCTGCAGCCCCTAGAGGACGTCTTTTGATGACGAAACGCATTGGGCGGAGCCCCTCTAATGTCATTGCACTGTTGGCCATCTTGGAAATGATTTATGTGAATGCTTTTAATTGTTCTACAGCTTATAAGTAGGATTTCATTTGTGCAAATAAAGAAGTTTTTGATACTAAGTGACCCATCTAAATACTCAGCAGAAATACAGTTATTACCTGACAAAAATATTTCCAATTCAGTTCAGAACATCTTGTCCAACAATACCCAATATTGCAGCTTTACAGCTGTCTTTGTCAGCTTACTGCATACTTCCCAGCTTTAGAATCTGAAAATCAGGGACACCCTATTGCAGAATGCGGTATGCGCTGTAACTAATAGTGAGGGTGGCTACATTGTGCTAAATATTGTGCATTGCTTAAAGGGATATACCTTAACTTCTTTGGGAAATGCCCTGGTGTCAGTGGGAAACACAAAACACTTTGGTGTCAGTGGGAGGGAAAAACATACCAATGTTAGTGAGACAGGGAAAGCACCTTGTTGTATACAGTATATATAAATTCATGATCTTACATACTATTTGGTGGGAAAGACATACAGACCAGTGGTAATGCCTTTTCCTCCCCATTTGAACAGTGACACCTTCCATACAGCGGAGTCGAGAACTTTTCTGTCCCAGACTTTCCTGGCAGCTCCATGTCATGTGATGTGTTTGTTACATGACCAGAAGAATGACATCATATCACGACTCGACTACTGCAACTCCCTCCTCACTGGCCTGCCTCGCCGCTGGCTATCCCCGCTTCAGTCGATCCTGAATACGGCAGCCAGACTCATTCACCTTTCCAACCGCTCCGTCTCCGCCCACCCCCCTCTGCCAATCCCTACACTGGCTTCCGATTGCTCAACGGATCAAATTCAAAATCCTAACACTGACATACAAAGCCGTCCACCATACTGCCCCGAAACTACATCACTGACCTAATATCCAAGTATCACCCAGCACGCACACTCCGCTCCTCACAAGACCTCCTTCTCTCTAGTTCCCTGGTCTCCTCCTCCCATGCCCGCCTCCAGGACTTCTCCAGGGTGTCACCCATCCTCTGGAACTCCCTGCCCCAACCCATCAGATTATCACCTACTCTCCTCTCCTTTAGGCGCACCCTGAAAACCCATCTCTTCAGGGAAGCCTACCCCACCCCCTGCTAACCTGCCGACCTCCTCCACTCTTCCTACCACTCCATCCCCCACAGCTATCTCCTCCTGTACCACTATCTCCTCCCTCCTAGATTGTAAGCTCCAAGGAGCAGGGCCCTCGATCCCCTCATGTTTAATGAGCATTCCAACACCTGATGCCAGGTCATGGGGGGAGTCCGTCAGACCCCAAGATTTAGTTCAAATGCCAGAA